CATGCAAGATCACAGATCATCCCTGTTACCCTGTAATGCAGTCTTCTATAAGGTTGGCCACAACTCAGATGTGCATCAATCCACAGAATAGAACGTTCTTCCAAGGAAAGTGTTTTGTGACATAGTGGAAGGTGTTTGATTCATGCGGGGTAGATTTGCCCAGGACCAGTCATTTCACTGATACCATCCTGCCTGCTCAAACTGAAGGCAATAGAAACTCAACTGTCACTCTGAAATCTCGAGACGGGTGTGTTTTCTTCAACCCACCTCTCTTTCCTAGTCAAGGACAGGTGTTGGGATGCTTTCCATCCTAATGACAGTGGCAACTTAAGTCGATCCTGCAGGGAATTAGAGCTCTCTGCGCCCAATGAGGGCGGTGGGATGTAAGACACAATTTGGGCTCTGGAAGAGGAGGGTACCAGTGTACCCAGTGACCCTGGGAGAGTCGCTAAGTCTTAGCCACCTCATCTGGGAAGGGTAAAGTTATCCAGCACAACTCCCTAGCCTGGATAAGAACCCTGCCTACAAACAGCTCCAGAGCGTGGGTTTGACACTTCCTTTTTTTTTGAGTTAAGAGTCTCACTCTGTCTCCCAGACTGGAGTGCAGTGGCACACTCACGGCCACCCTAGCATCAACCTGCTGGGCTCCGGCAATCCTTCTGCCTCAGCCTTCCAAGTAGCTAGAACTACAGGTGTGCACTACCAGGCTAATTTTTTATTTATTGTAGAGACAAGTTGCTTGGGCTGGTCTCAAACCTGAGTGCTCAGGCAGTCCACTTGCCTCGACCTCCCAAAGTGCTGGGATTACAGGCTGAGCCACTGAGCCCGGCAATACTTCCCTTCTTATTGTCTCTTCCTCTCCCTGCAGAACCAGAAAGCTCTTCCTTGGACTTGGCATGTGACTCTCTGTCCCTTCCAAGGCAGCCCCAACTCAACCCTGGAAAGAAAACATCCCCGGATGACAACCCTTCAGAGCCTGCATTTGAAGACAAGTCCTACACCCTCCTGGTTTTCCCTGGGCATTCCTTAGGGCATCTGGATTTTGGACAACCCTTCTGTGTCAGTTCAACTCTAGCTCGGCAGTGACCTTACAGAAACCCAACAGGGAACTCCACACAGGTTCTAACACAGGAAGTTCCAAGCTTGGCTAATCAGAATCACGCGGGAGCTTTTGGAAACGAGTTTTCTCATCTCCAGTGGATCAGAGTCTTAAGGGATGGATCTCAGGAAACAGAACCTTCTATTACTAATCATCCAGATTTGGGGATGCCTGATCGAATCAGTACAGTGATTTGGTCTTTTCTTGATCTTAAGATAGTTTTGCTTATTGAAAACAAGCAGAAAATATGAACTTTTCCCAAGTTTCACATCACAGTTTAATTATATGGCAAATCATTAACAACAGCTGAGGAAAAACGTAAAGAAGCCGATTATTCAGATGAAAGACAACAAATGCACGAGGTAGAAAAGTGTAAGACTTTCTCGGCGATCAGGGCTCCACAGCGGCTTTCTGAGCGAGAATTCCTCAGAGCAGTTTAGGGCTTTTCCTTAGGGAAAGGAAAGGTAAAAGTCAGTCTGATGCAGGCCTAGGAACTCTATTACCCAACACTTATAAATTCATATGCTTAAATCCCTGTTATACTTTGCATTTCTAGTCCCCTTGTTTTTGTTTCAGATTCCTTTTAGCAATCTGACCGCACCTCTGCAGATTTCATTAATCCCGTCTTACCCTGCATACCTCCAACGATTCTGTAGAGCTGTGTAGATGTTTATACAGCAAATTTTCCTAACAACCTATGTTATCTTTGATTTCCTCTCAGATGATAAATTCCTTAAGGGCAAAAACGATGCCTTCAACTTTCTTAATAATGACTTACAGTAAGCATGTAAGTATTGGTGACTGGTTTAAAAAAAAAATCTTTTGCTATTCTCAAACTCTTCCAAAAAGAAAAGGATGGAACATTTCTTAACTCATTCTATTAAGCCAGTATTACCCAGACACCAAACCCAAAGACACTACAACAGAAAATTACAGAAAATTACAGGCCAATGTCCCTAATCAACATCAATGGAAAAACTGTCAACAAAATACTAACAAAACAAATTCAGCAGCATACTACCAGGATTATACCAAGTAGGATTTATTCCTAGAATACAAGGAAGGTTTAACATACAAAAATCATTGTATTAATATAATGAGGAAAACAAAAACACGTGATCAACTCAACTGATACAAAAAAGCATTTGAAAAAAATTCAACACCCTTTCTTGATAAATACACACACACACACACACACACACTCTCAAACTGGAATAGAGACTTCTTTAACATGATAAAGGCCATACATGAAAAACTCACAGATAACATCATACTCAATGATGGAAGACTGAAAGCTTCTCCTCTAAGATCAGGAACAAGACAAGAATGCCAACTTTCACCACTTCTATTCAATATATATTGCAGTGGAAATTCTAGGCAGAGCAATTAGGCAAAACAAGTAAATAAAAGACATCCAAATTTGAAAAAACGAAGTAAAATTATCTCTTCACAAATGGTATGATCTTACACATAGAAAACTTTAAAAGATTCCACATCAAAAAACTGTTAAAGCTAACAAATTCAAAAAAAGTTGCAGATGCAAAATCAACACAAAAAATGAGCTGCATTTCCTTATGCAGATAATGAACAATCCTAAAAGGAAATTAAGAAAACAGGCTGGGTACAGTGGCTCACGCCTGTAATCCCAGCACATTGAGAGGCCAAGGCGGCAGGATTGCTTGAGCCCAGGAGTTCAAGACCATAGGCAAAATAGTGAAACCTCATCTCTACAAAAAGAAACAACAAAAAAAATCAAAATATTATCTGGGCAGGGTGGCATGTGCCTGTGGTCCCAGCTACTTGGAAGGCTAAGACAGGAGGTCTGTATGAACCCAGGAGTACAAGGCTACAGTGAGCTATGATCATGCCACTGTATTCTATCCTGGACAAGAGAGACCTTGACTCAAACTACAACAACAACAATTTCACTTATAATAATAATAAAAAATATTGTGGAATAAATTTACCCAAGAAGGTGACAGGCTTGCACACTAAAAACTACAAAATATTGCTGACAGAACTTAAAGAAGACCTAACTAAATGGAAAGATATTCAGTGTTCCTGGATTAGAAGACTTAATATGGTTAATATGATAATACTACCCAAAGCAATCTAGGAATTCAACATAATCTCTATCAAAAATATAACTTTCGCATAAATAGAAAAACCCAATCTAAAATTCATATGAAATCTCGGGGGCCCCGAACAGCCAAAATAATCTTGAAAAAGAACAGAGTTGGAAGACATACACTTTCTTATTTCAAAACTTACTACAAAGCTACAGTAATCAAAACAGTGTGTTACTCGCATAGGGAGAGACATATAGATCAATGGGGTAAAAGAGAGAGCCCAGAAATAAACCCCAGCATATACGACCAGTTGATTTCTGGCAAGGGCACCAAGGCCATTCGGTGGGAAAAGGAAAATCTTTTCAGTAAGTGGTGCTGGAAAAAAAGAATGATGTTGACCCTCATCTTATACCTATACTAAAACAAACTCAAAATGGACCAAAGACATAATATCAGAGCTAAAACTACAAAACTCTTAGAAGAAAACACAGGGCACAATGTGGATGAGCCTTGGAAATGAAGTAAGTCAGACACAAAAGGACAAATATTGCATTAATTCCACCTATATGAGGTTACTAAAGCCATGAAACCCAGAGATAGAAAGCAGAATGCAGGTTCCAAGGCCTGGGGGAAGGATGCGGAGTTATTTAATGGGTATAGAGTTCCTGATGGGATAATAATGAAAAGAATTCTGGAAATGGATAGGATGACATTTGCATAACACTGAGAATGTATTTGGTGGCACTTAATTGGACACTTAAAAGTAGTTAAAATGATCATTTTAAAGTTATTTCACCACAATAAAAGTCCTTTGATCAATTACACCTCTTTGAAACCTGGGCCCTGCTACCTTCCAGCTGAGTGGCTCTGGGAATGTTCCTTAACCTCCAAGTGCGTCGACTCTTCTGTACAATGAGGCCATCACAGATGCTGTTAAGATTAACATTAAAAGTACAGGCCGAGTGCAGGGCCCAGCACACAGCAGGCTATCGCTCAAAAATGATGGGTTGTTATTTCGGCAGCTCTCGTGAGAGGACAGGTGATAATTACAGAAAACATGAAGAGCTGGAAAGAGCGTTAAAATGTTACCATGCATAGATACTGGTAGCAGGGAAACTTGAAAAAAGTTGTGGGGGGGGGCAGGAATCTTGGCTTTTCAACAGTTCAGAAAAACTCAGTGACAGAGGATTTCATTTACGAAAAGTTCAATATTCAGTGTGTGACAGTTGCTTAGAAATGAATGCAACCCTGGGTCTCCAAGGACAGTGCAGCGCACCCATCACCGAGTTTATTCCAAAACACTTAGTGATATGCTTCCAGAATAGGCCCCCAAGAATGTTGAAGTCTTTGAAAGCCACGTTAATGCCAAGATCAGTTTTGAGGCACCCCGGGGGAATGGAGGACAAACTGAACACGATGGCACCGGAAGTAACAATTCCAGGTACTCACCAGTGAGCTGGCTCTGAGCACTCGGGGCAGGGCGTCTAGCCACTTGTGAGATGGGCCACTCCACTGGGAGGGAGGCTGAGCAGTAGAAACAGTGGTCTTTAAGGCATGTATCCTCTAAGGTTCTACATCTGAGCATGTAAACTTTGGATTTTTCAGAAGACACGCTATCATGTCAAGATCAACGCAAGCCGTGTGCCATGCGAACATAGCCTAAGCAGAATGTTGATTCACAGACACACACTTCTGTTCTGGGGAGAATCTCTTTGGATAACAAAAAGTTACAGCTTGAGCAAAAGCAGCAACACAATTTCCAAAGTGTCCACTTCTCATGAGCAAATACATCTTAGGCAAAAAGGAAAAAAAAACACTTAAAAACCCACAAGCACAAATAAACCAACTTTAATAGATATTATTTTGTATTTATATAGCGCCTTCTTCAAGAACCTTAAATGCTTTACAGACATTATCTCTAATTAATCCCCACAACAACCCTGTGAGGTAGGTATTACTCCCATTTTACAAGACAGGGAGACTGAAGCACAGAGAGGTTAAGTGACTTGCCCAAGGTCACACGGTTAAGTTCACTGAAGAGCCAGGACCTGAGCGCTGTGGCCTCCCAGCTCCCAGCCAAATACCTCATGAGAGAATCTTGAATACGAAGTATCTCTAAAGAAAGTGTCAAGAGTAGTATGTTATGAAACTGAGGTCTTTCTACCGCCAACAAGGAAAGAAAAAACCCTACACTGATGGTTAGAGGCCAACAAAGACCTACAGAGTACGTTTCCCTCCCACAGCCTACTGGCTCCCGTCTTAAACAGTCTTCTAGACTTTCTAAGATGGAAGCCATGCAACTTAGGAAGTGGAACTTAATTTAGAATATTTACTTTCAGTTACGATAATTTATAGACATTTTTATTCCAATATACAAATACAGGACAGCCACCCCAACAAACACGTACACAGTTACACAGCAGCTGGCTGCCATCTAACGGACACCTGCCCTCAGCCAGCCACCCGCCGCACCATCTCGTGACACTTTCCTCATGGGTCATTTTCCTTACCGTTCCTGTATCTGTTTCCTCAACCCTGGCCCTGTGTGTGTGTTAAAAGCATACTGAGTTTCTGGTAAGCTTCAAGACACTTTACTTAGATATAGCTGCACTAAGAGGAAAAAGGACATTTAAAACCATCACCCCAGTCCCTCCTGTGACAAATCATACCATGGAACATGTGTGGGCATGAATGAAGTGTGTGACTACCATGGAACTCAACGAGAGAACTTCCTTGACTATGAAATGTAACTTGGCTTTTACTGCTTGTTTTTCTTAAATGCAACAACAAACACCACGTGGTATTTTAATGCTGTACCTTTCTGCCCATGACTTCAGCTGCCTTCCTAAGCAAGCCGCGGTCTCCCTGAGGTTGAGACCAACTCGGCTTCCCGGGACTCTTTTCCTTTGTACTGAAAGCTGCAGAAATACAGCTTCAATCCTGAGACAGTCAGGTTGAAGTCCTCGCGACAAGTGTGCGCTCACTCCCCTGCTCTGACTCTGCCCACATTCCTGGTTGCGATTCTCTGTGCGATGTTGGTTCACCAGGCAGGCTATGTACAGTGTGCACAAAGCAACCCCAGTCAGGGGGAGGCTTGGAAAACTGAGTCTTAAGAAGAAATCTGTCAAAATACTTTTGACGTTCGGTACAAATGCTAATATTATAATTTTCTCCCAGCACATCTGTTTAAGAAGCCCAATTAGCGAAGTGACCCTGTTAGAGATTTGTTTGTGGAATAGGTGAAGTCATTTCCTGAGCTAAAAGATACAGATAATAAATGTTCATCATAGCAGCAGAATAAAAACATTCTTTTTTGCTGTTTGTTTTCCATAGTCAACATTTTAGCAAAGTAACTTTAGAAAATAACAGAATTTTTAAAAATTACTGCCTGAAAAGAGTTTGGTAAAGAACATCCGAGACCTGATTGCTATTCTTCTGAATATAACTTTCAATTATTTTCTCCCAGTTACATTCGACCACTATCAGACAACTTACTTGGAAGCTGGCATAGAAAATGTCAACCATAATGGGCTGCATACATTTTACATTACATATAGTACTTCATGAAACCCCCAATAGAATGAAGTCTTAACAAACACAAACGTTCGTTTCTGAACACTCTTCCAGTAAGGTTTGTGAAGGCAGAGGGGAAAAGGACTCCATTTCATTAAGATGTGATCTTCCAAGGGTGTTTGTTGTTTTAGCTCATGGCCTGGGCTGCCAGGGTTATGATGAATGTATTTCTTCTTTCCAGGGTAAAAAATGACATTTGAAAATAACATAAATGCTATGACATGAATTTTCCAAGCATGGCCTCAACTTGAAACATTAGAATACTTAAGAAGTCTAAAGACTGGTATATCACCACTGCACCAGAATTTTTTATTATTCCAACAACTAGAGGGATTGATAGTTTTTTATTTTACTAAAATTAAAGCTGAATAAAGTAACTGACTTATAAACTATAGTAAAAGGACAATATTTAGCCAGAGATATCAGTTCCTCCTGAAAAAGAATACTTACCTCCTCTCATTGCAATTTTTCTAAGGTATCTTACCGATTTCAGAGAGAATTTAAAATTCACCTTAAAAGTGGAAACAAACAAATGGACTAGTTAAACTGACATAAGCTAATAAAAATATGCTCAAATTGACTGACAGAATCATGGGCACTTCATACAATACTTAGGCTCTACCAGTTTATTTTAAGTAAAATAAATAAGGAAAAATTATAATTACAAAGCCAGTCTTTCCCCTTGGGGAAACAAAAAGCCACTTTTGACCAATTGTTCCCTACATATACATATATTGTATATTATTATAAGCTTCTTCAGAGAAGCAAGACATATTTGTCTTCCTGACACTGGATTATCTAGTATCTCGGTTAGTTTTTTACATCAGGAAGGCAACTGCAAGTGTTGGGCCCAAAAGTATTTCTGGTTTACTCTTGAAAAGACCACTGACCATGCTTCCATACATATGGAACCAGGCAAACTTACACGGTGTGTTCAATATCACCCCCTACAATGATTAATACATCCTAGCACAGATTCTGATTCCTTCTGCTGCACCCCCAAGGAATTCAAATCATTATTGGTGCAATTAATCGAGAGACAATGCGTGTCAATGACTGGAAGGCTGCTTTAGAGAGGAGCTGGTATCTCTGATTTCACTTCCTTGTTGTGTGGAACTGCACAGACAGCATGATACCTGAGCAAATAAATCAACTACCATGATCGAAGGGCTTGTTCATCCGTCGTCTTTGCTTTATCGTGTGCAAAGTATGCCACTGCCCCCTGAGCTTCCTGCATTTCTCTTTTCTTGAAAAATCAGTGCTTGATCCTTTCCAAATAGCCAGAGAAGAAATGAGGCAGAAAGTATCTCTTCATCACGGCTCCCCTCAGTCCCGAGACTGATAGAAAAGGATGTAACCAGACTCAGAGTTCTTTGAGATATCTGATGTCAACCCGTAGAATTCTTCAATAGCTTGTGCATCAATTTTCTGGGAGGCAAAATGTAAACATTAGTACATAAATGAGCTCTGTACAACCAGAATGGCCTATGTTAAAAAGACTGACAACAGCAAGTACTGGTGAGAAGGTGGTGAAATGGAACTCAACACATGGCGATGGGAATGCAAAATGGGACAGACATTCTGGAAATCTGTTTGGCAATAAAAGTGGAACAAACAACTCCTCTTGGGTCTAGGAATTCGCCTTCTGATGGCACACAGGTTGAACTACACGAAATCACTAATTGTCAACCATTTGGGCCTACAAAAAATGTATTTCCAATGGTCCAACCTAATACATACCCAAGAAAAACGACAGCCTATCTAGGTCCAGCAAAAGGCTTGCACAGGGATGATCAAGGCATTTTTATTCACAATAGTCAATAATTGACAAAAAAGCCAAATTTCTAACTTGGTATGGTCATACGATAGAATTTAAAAAAAGAACTATTAAAGGTAACAAGGATGAATTTCACACAAAAGAAACCATACTGTATGAGTCCGTTTCTGTTCAAGCACAGGTAAGATGAATCATATGATAAAAATTCCAATAGCAGGTTCCATGGGAGGGAAGGCAGAGGTGAGGAGAGCCAGGATGCTGACCAGGAGGAGGTAGGAGCCTACTGGAGTGTTGAAAATACCTTCTGTCTTGATCTGAATGGTGGTCACGTCACAAGTGTAAGCATGTGTGCTGGGGGGTGTGCACATTCGCATTAAAAACCCATGGGTTAAGATCTGTGTATTTTATGGATCCATGTTATATGGCACATAATTTTTTTTCTAAATAATGGGAGGTTTCTGTGTGTGTGTGTGTTTGTGTGTGTGTGTGTGTGTGTAAGAAAGCAGGATTTATTGAGAGGACAGAAAAGCTACCACAGTGGGAGGGGACCTGAAGGGTTTGCCTGGTTTCTGTGTTTTTTATTTTTTATTTTAAACCAGCTCTGTTGTTGGAAACTTTTCCCTTGTTTTATTCCAGACGTTTTAAGGTCAGGTGGCTACTCAAGTGTTGGGCTTGGACATTAGGGACTGAGAAGCAGGAACTCAATGACAACCCTAAGGACCAAACATTTGTCTAATTCTCATCACCAGTCATGCAAGAACGAGAAACCATGAGAAGAAAGTGAAGAGCAACATAAACACACGAGTTTAAAGAAAAATAGAAAACTAAGAAACTACTTACTTCTACAATGTCGTCATCAAACAACAACCAAAAATCATGACTCTTAACTATTGCAATATAATGGCCTCGATTGGGACCACTACAACAAAAAAAGAAAAAAGTTAATTTTATACAACGATTATTAATATTATTTTTTATGCCATTAATATTATGTTCTATAGAGTAAAGAAACTGAAACAGATAAAAATACCCCTTATCTATTCTTTCTAAGAAAAGAGACAGCCGGGCTCGTTGGCTCAGCCTGTAATCCCACGCTTTGGGAGGCTGAGGTGAGTGGACTGCCTGAGCCCGTGGGTTCGAGACCCGCCTGGGCAGCGAGACCTC